GTTGATGATTTTCTTGAAGCACTGCTAATATTTCTTTTAAGTTTATTATTATTAATTTATAAAATATGGAAGGCGTTTTAAAATTTGGATTATTAATGTTTCTTATAAAGCGTTACCAATTTTATTAGTGTTATATTTATTAATAAACTTATTATTTTTTGATGTATTATTAATATTTCCTTTAAGTTTATTATTATTAATAATAACTAAAAAAATTTTAATGCGTTATTATTTGATTTTGAAGCATTATAATTATTTTTCTGAAGTTTATTATTATTAGTAAAATATGAAAATGTTATTTTTTTTATTTTTTTATAAATATAATTTTTGTTTATTAAAATTTTTTTTTAGGTTCATAACTTTTTATTTTTTTAATATTTATTAAATATTCTCTGAAATTTAGAAAAAATTTTAAAAATGGGCTACTAACTAATGAGATAGCTCATTTTATTCATTAATTTTTTAGAGTAAATCAATCGATTTGATTGGCAGTGATAGTGATGATGAAAATCGAACCGGTTGTACTGTTTTTATTAAGAATATAAACTTTGAAACTAAAGAAGGTTATTATTATTATTATTATTTATTCTTAGTATTCTTACTATTATTAATAACTTATTTTTTCATGCTTATTATTTATTATCTCTTATAATACTGCTTAGTTATTATTTTTATAAATTTTCTTCTTTATTATTTCATTAATATATTTAATATAGAACTAACTATTCTTATTTTTATTACCTTACTTTTCTACTTTTATAATACCTTGTATCAAAGTAATTTATTATTATTTCTATTTTATTACCAAAATTTCTTGTATATATAAAATTTCTTAATATTTTAAAAATAAATTTTTTTATTTAACCTTAATTATTAATAATATACAAAATGAATTATATTTTATATTATTTTTGTTTATTTTTTAGTTATTATTATATAAAAAAGGTTTCTTTTATTTTGGTTTATATTTTTTATTAAATTTGTTTAATTAATTAATTGTTATATCTTACAAAAGTTTTTATTTTTTTATTGAAAATATAAAAGATTTCATTTATTTTTGATACTTTTTTTTTAATTTTTATATATTAAAGTTTTGTTTCAGTTTTATATATTTTTTTTGATAGAAAAGCTCTTTATCTATTAGTATTTTTAATAAAAGCTTATAGTCTTAAAATTTTATTGTGCTTCTAAAATATTATTTATTATAATAAATTTTGTTTTAGTTTATATTTTTATTTTTTTATTTATTAGAATTTTGTAAAATTTTATATTATAGTGAACTTCTATTATTTTTTATAAAAATAATGATTATATATTATAAAGCTTTTTTAGTTTTATTATATAATTTTTTATAAAAGAAACTTTTTATTTACTAGAATTTTTGTAAAAGTCTATATTTTATATGAACTTTTATTATTCATTAAAAAATGACTAAAATATTAAAATTTCTTATAATAAACTTTTGTTATAGTTTTATTATATTATTTTATTAGAAATTTTTTTTATTTTTTGTATATTTTATAAAAGTATATATGCTTATACTGTTTTTTATTTATTAATAAAATATTTTAAAATTATATTTTATTATTATTTTTTATAATAAAGTTTTGTTTTAGATTTATATTCTTATTTTCTTTTATTTCAAAGTTTTTTTAATATTTATTAAGAAATACTACATATTATTTCTTTATATTTATTAGATTTTTTATAAAAGTTTATATTTTTTTATGAACAACAAATATTATCTTTAAAATGTTTTAGATTATTTTTTATTTATAATTTTTAAGTGTAATGTTTGTTTTGTACTGAAATCTTATTTTTGTAAAATCTATAATGAAAATTATTTTTCATTATTTTTATTGCTTTTTTATATATATAAAATAAGTAAAAAACTACTTTTTTAATATATTTATTTAAAGTTTTAATTTCTATTTTATTTTTTATTATTGTAAGAATTTTTAACTTATAGATTTCACAAAAAATAATGAAAATAAATTTATGTTCAGTTTTTTATTTGAAGTATCATAGCCTATCTTTAATCCATGTTTATAGTGAATTTTTATTATTATTGCTGTTTTTAAAATTAATAAATTTTTTGTTGATAAAACCTTCATTATTACATTTATTATAGAACTAATTTCATGCTTTTTATTTTTTTAAGAAAATTCTACTTTTCGTATTAATATTTTAAATTTTTTACTTTTTCTATAAGTTTGTGAATTATTTTTACTAGAAATACGTTTATTTTTTTTAATTTTAGTCTAAATACAAGAAATTAATTTTTCCTTTTTTTAATGAATTAAAAAATATATTTTTTATAGAAAGTTTAAAAACTGTTTTCCAACAGTATGGCAAAGTGCGCTCGATGACAATAGCAAGAAAAAAAGATCCGAAAAATAATGAACTGGTCATTAACTTTTAATTTACTACAGTTTTCATTCAAAAATTGTTAAAATGTCACATTTTTAATTGACCTTTTTTTACTGAAGCATGAAATTTTCGCCTTTTTGATTTATTAACTTTTTTCTATTGGCTAAAGTATTATTATGGAAATTAGTAATGTATCATTTTCCTTTGGTCAATCATTAAATTTTTGATTTGTGGTTTTATTAATAATTGCATTGGTTAAGCGGTTTTCTGAGCTTTTTATAATGAACAGAATAAGTTTTTTTAATGAACATTTATAAATATATATTTCTTTTTGTTGTTTGTTAGTTTCACTAAATTAGTTGTATTCAATATTTATATTAAGCACCAATAAATTTCCGTACCTTTTTTAAGACATTAACTATAATTTCATGTTTAATATATTATATCTATTCTATTCATTGGCCCAGTGATTCACTAGATTTTTTGTTAAAATACTTCTTTTGTATACTAAAAAAATTTTATATAAAATAATAACAATATTAATTTTCGTTTTTTAAGACTATTTTTTTTAATATACTTTTACTTTTTTAAAAAAATTTAATTATAATTTTATTTTGTTTTACTTTATATTATATTAAAATATCTTTTGTAATACTTTGAATATAAAAACTTTATAGAGTTGTAGTTTATATTTATTTTATTATTACTTCTCAACATTTTTTAATTTTTTTTGGATAAAAATTGTTGGGTTTTTTTATTTGTGTTATTATTAAGTTATGTAAAAACTATTATTTATTATATATTATTATTAACATTATTAATTATTGTTATCATAATTTTCCTTATAATTCTAGAAATCAATGGGCTTTGGATTTGTTGAATTTTATACGCCAGAAGACGCTGCCAATTTATTGAAAAATGGGTCTAATATAAAAATTGATGGGCACATTTTAGAGTTAAAATTATCGCAAAAGAATTCACGGCCTAAAAGGGTTATTATTATACTTATTATTAGCGCTATTTTTGTTATTATTATAGTTTATTATTATTATTTTTAATGTGCGTGCGCGTAACTGTTATAGTTTTTATTTAATAAAAATGATTATTTTCGCAACACGTGCCTTTCCTCTTTCGCCTTATCGCAATGGCGTTGTCATTTTTTAATATACTTCTATTGGCGCTTCGTCGCATCGTAGATTTTTAATTATCCTCAAATGGCGTATCGGCGGGCGTAGTATTTGATTGTTGGGGGTATTTTGTTTTAAAATTTGTAGTGGAAAAACTTTAATGAATTTATAATTTCCATTTTTTTTAATTCTTTATTATAGAATTACTATATTATACTTTTTTTTTTTTAGTAATTTTTGTATTAATTAAATATCAAATATTATATTTTAATAATAATGAATTGTTTTTCTTAATCTATATGAATATTAATAGGTTTTCTCATTATTTTATTACTTGTTAACTATTTAATATAATAGTAATATAAATTATATATAACTTTTTTTTATAATTATAAATATTCATCATTTTTATAAGTTTTTTTTAATATTTTTACAGTTACCACAATTTTTTATGGTCATAATAATATTAATGTCAACAATTTTTATTATTTTACATTTTCATCATAAAATTATGAACATTTATGTATAAATTTGATGAACTTTTATATATATCTAATTTTTTTTGGAGATTTTTTTTTAAAATATTTAACTTTATTATGAATGTTATACGTTTATATTTTTATTTTCGTATAACTCTATTAATATTATTTTATGATTATGAATTGTGTCTATATATTTACTTTATATTATTACTATATTATTTATTAATGATTTTTCTTTTATTAACTACTTTTTTTACTTTTTTTAAAAAAATATTAGTACTGATTTTCTCAATTTATAATATTTTACTTGGTTATTTATAAACTTCTATACTTTTTTTACAATTTTTTTGGGTATTGAATAAATAATAATTCATAAAGATACTGAATTTTTATTTATTTTATATTTTATTATATTTTTGTTTATTATTATAATAATATTATGAATTTTATTTTTAGTTTTATTTTACTTTTCATTAGTCGTTATTATTTAGTTTAGTTATTATTATTACACTCTTTTATTGATTATAACTTACTTTATATTATTATTGTATACTATATATTTGTTTAATTTATTCCTTTTATTATTTTACTTTTTATGCTAAATCTTTTATTATTTTGAACTTTTATATTTTTTGTGTTTTTTATATATTTTTATTTATGCTGAATATAATAATAATATAATCTTTTTAATATTTATTAATTACATAAAAATTTATTATATTATTATATATGAAATACATATATTTATCTTGTCATCAGAATAAAAGGAAGTATGCCTCTCAGAACGACAAACTGAAAGGTACTAAACTTTTGGTGCGAAACGTTCCTTTTGAAGCTTCAGTAAAAGAACTGAGAGAACTTTTTGGGTTTTTTTTTATTTTGTTAAATAATAATAATGAAAGTGTAAATTATAATTGTATTTAAAAATATTTTTAAATATAAATAATGTAAAAAATAATACTAGAAATAATATTTAGAAAAATATAATGATAATAACAACAACAATATTAATAATACTTATAATAGTCTTATAAATAAATGCATACAAAAATATATAATTATTTTAATGAAACTAAATGCACTTACTAAAAATTTATAGAAAAATATATATTTTAGTAATAAACCTGTAAAATAAAAATATTACGAAATTATATAAATAGTATATTTTCAAATTTATAAATACTATTAAGAAAACTAATAAATAACAGAATTATGAAAATAGTATATATAATATTAAAATTCTTGTAAATAACGAAAATTCCTAAGAATATATAAATAATTGATATAATTAGCATGAACTTTTTAGTTTGTAAAGCAGCTTGTATAGAACTTTTTATTATAAAAATTTACACCGATAATTCTTATTATTTTAAATTCCACTCTAAATTATATTTATCAATAACTCTTTTAATAAAATAAAAATATAAACTTTTAAGTATAATTTTAGGTATTTTAGGTCATTGTTATTAATATATTACTAGAAATTTTAATTTTATTTTCAAATTTTTTTTTTAAAATTATTCTTATTAATAACTTTTTTTAATTAGAATAAAAATGTAAAGCTTATTTTAATTTTCTAGATATTTTAGAAGTTTATTATTAGAAATTTATATTAATTTAATATAGAAAATGATTATTAAATTTACTTTTTATTAATTTATTTTTATTTTAACTAAATTTAAGTATTAAATTATATTTATTAATAATTTTTTGTTTATATTTACATTTTAAGAACTTTTCATCATAATTGTTATTATTACAAAATTTAATTTATTGCATATTGATTATTATAATTCTCACTTTTTTAAAAATGAAATTTTTAATTTTAGAAAATTATTAACAAACATTATTTTGAAAATATATTTTTACCTTTTTGTAACCATATATGCGTGTTGGAACATTTTATTATTACTTTTTTACTTTTTTTTAGTATTTTATTACTTAATTTTTTAAAAATTATTTTTATTCATAACTTTTTAATCAAAAAGAAAATAAAGAACGTCTTCACTTTTAGATATTATAGAAGTTTTATTATTTTTATTTTTAATATAATTATTTTTATTTGTTGCATATGATTTATTTAATACATAAAAAACTTTTTTTTCAGAACTTTTTCTGTTTATTATTTTTATCTAAATATTTTTTTTATTTTACTGGCTTTAATAAAATAAATTATAGTAAAACTTCTATTACTTAGTCAGAATTTATATAAATATATATTTTTTTCGAATTAATAAAATTTATAATTTTTTTTTGATATAAAATTTTTATTGAATAATATTTAAATTTTATATTTATTAAAAAAAATTCACATTCAGAACTTTTGGAAAATTGAAAAGTGCTCGAATTCCTAAGAAGTTTGACGGAAGCCACCGCGGTTTTGCATTTGTCGAGTTTGCTAACCAACAAGAAGCGCAAAATGCCTTTGAAGCACTTGCAAGGTTTGTAATGAGACTCTTTTCCCATTAATTATAGTGACTTTTTTAGTTTTTAGTTATAAAATATATTAAAACTTTCTTTTATAATAATTATACTTAATAACTTTTAAAACATCTTAATGAATTTTTTTAGGATTATACGATCTTTAAATTTTTTATATAATTAAACTTTTAACTATAAATTTATTTATCTTATAATAATTTGAAATTTTTTTAGTGATTATTATATTTTACAATTATTTTAATGAATATTCTGGTCTTTTTTTGATACTTTACTATAAATATTTTGTTGTTTAATTATTAAATTTATTATTTTTAGTTTTTTAAAACTTTGTTGTGAAGTTTGTTTAATATTTTTATTTATAAGTGTATATTTCAGAACTTAATTTTTTTTAATATTTATAAATACTTTTTTACAAATTTTTTAACTTACAATGATTATAGTAATTTTCATTAATTTTAATAAAGTTTTTAGTATAATTATATTCTTTATATATTTCTACTTTTTTTGAGCTTTTTCTGTGATTTTTGGTTTCTTCACTTTTTATAATGATTTTTTCAGAACTTCAATTTATATATAATCTTTTTGTTTAATTTTTCTACCTTTATAGCGATTATTATTTTTGGGTACTTTTCGTATAATTTTGTTCCATTTTTTTTAATTAAAAAAAATTTAACTTTGAAGTTGCTGAACTTTTTATTATTGACATTTCCGTTTTTGTACGATATTTCATTTTTAGTTTCTATAAAGAATATTATTTAGTAATTATTATATATAAATTTTATTTTTGGTATAAAAAAATTGTTTAATGGTTTTTGAATTATTTAATGAAAGCTTTTTTAATGCTTTTTTTAATGCTTTTTTTAGTACTTTTGTGTTTTTACTGCAAGAATGATTATTCATTTATTACAATTTTTTTAATAGTAATTTTATGTTTTATGTTTTACGATTATTCTTTTTAAAAAATTTTTTATTGGTCACTGGACTTTATAATATTAACTTTTTTATATTTTTGAACAATATTAAAGATTATTTTTTACAATTTTTTTAATGAATTTAGTACTTGTATAATTTTTTATTGTATATATTTATTTACTGAATTTTTTTTATAACGTTATAATAATTTTCTAGTTACAATTTTGATTTATTAATTATTATCACCTTACCATCATTATTTACAACAGATTAAAAGGTTTTAATTATGGAACTTTTTTTATTGTAATATTTTTAATACGTTTGCGTATATTACAATTTTTTTCAAGCTTTTAATAATTATTATAATATTTTATAAATTTTTATTTATTACATTTACAAATTTTTAAGTAATTGTTTTAGTGATAAGGTTTTTTTATTTTAATAATTTTTTGACTAAAGTTTTATAATTATTTTTCTTAAACTTTTAAGTAATTATTTTAGTGATAACTTTTAATATATTAATATTTTATAATTTTTTATTAACTATATTTTTATGCTTTAAAGCAATTTTTTTAATGATAATATTTTTATTTTAATAATTTTTGTGGCTAAAGTTTATATATATATTAACTAGATTATTTTTCTAGTTTTTAAGTAATCTATTCTTAATTTTTTTTATAATAAAAATTTTTTGACTTAAGTTTTACGATTTTTTATATTTTAATATTTTTAATACTCTCAATAAAAATATCAACTAATTACTTTCAAGATATTTTATGACGAAATTATTTTTTATATTTTATAATATTAACTTAAGTATATTTTATATTAATAAATTTTTAGCACGCATTTTTATGGGCGTCATTTGGTAATTGAATGGGCTAAAGATGACAGTTCTCTAGAAAAAATTCGCGCAGATTTAAGTAAATATTTATACTAATAATAATAATTTACTAAATTTTTATATATATACAGTAAAACAAGTAAATATTCAACATGAAGAAAATCACAGCAAAAAAATAAAATTTAACACTCGTGAAAATTTTTCATTAGATTCATATTGATAATAAAATTTTTTTGTTACCATTGGAAAAACTTTATATTGCAGAATTTTTTATTTGTTTATATTAATATTTTATTGTTTTTTTAGTTTAAAGGGAAAAAATAAAATCGTATTTATTTTTTTTGAAAATTAGAATAAATTTTTGGTGAATAATTAAAAATACAGCAATTATAATAAATAATAATTGTTCACGTTAACGTTTATTATATTTTAGTATTAAAAAATATGTATATATATATAAAAAAGGAGTACTTTTTTATTTTATTTAAGAAATGGAATAAAAAGGTTTGATAAATTATAAATACAACAATTATGATTAATAATAATATTTAAAAAGTTTGTTATATATCTGTAAAAGTGTACAGTCAACGTGGGTATTGGTATCTTATTATAACTGCCGATGCCACGTGCGCATCCGTTTTGGGATTGCATACAAGCCCCTCCCAAGCCTTTTTGGTTTCTGATTCGCTGTTCCACCTTCAATTAGACCACGTGAGAGGGTACACAACATTTTTTTTAAAAAAAACTGGTAGTGATTTTTAGTGGGAAAATATTATAAACAATTATAAACAGTATCGAAAAGTGTTTTATTAAATTTTTTTTTGGAATTGTGATTTATTTATAAAATTATTGGTTCATTCTTATAAAAAAATTATAGCGCTCATGGTCGGTAAACTTTTCATTATTTTTATACGCCTTTAAAAGTCTTTTTTATGATACTTAAAACATACCAATTAACTTATCATATTAACAACTGGATTTTTTAAGGTCTATTTAAAAAATTTTAAAATCCAAAGAAATAATGAAGTGAGTTCTGTTCTAGTCAAATTTAAAATAAACCCCCCCCCCCCCCCCCCCCCCCAAAAAAAAAAAAAAAAAAATAAAAAATAATAAACTAAATTTCTTTAGTGATAATGAAATCAAAAAAAAATTATTAGGGAAATTTAAAGCTATTAACTTTCGCATAATTTATATTATAATATGAAGACTTTTCTTTAAAAATTTATCAAAGTTGAAGTTTTTTTTTGGAAAATAATGAAAACAAACAATAAACAAAAAAAATATTTTATAAAAAAGTGTTATTATAGTAATATTTAATAATAAAAAATTATTATAATAAAACGATATAAAAAATAGTATTATAAAAAAAAGTATAATGATAGTAATATTAAATAGAAAATAATCAGGAAAATTCGATAGTAAATATTATAATAAGTAAAAATTATGAAACTATAATAATATATATAAAAATAAAATATTATATAGTTCATTAAGTGAAGTAACAATAATTGAATAATTATAAGGATCTGCTAGTAATGCTTAAGACTTTTGTTGGCTAGTGACGGAATTTTGTATAAAACAAAAGACAGCATCCACAATTTTAATGAATTATAACAATAATACTTTTTATTAAATATAATAAAATAAAAATAATTCAATACAGTTTTAAGGCTTTTTAGTTTTACTTTCAGCTGCGAGAAGGGCAGCAACGCGCTTAATATCTTCAATACTAATATTAGTTTCTTCTTTTTCAAGAGCCTCGAAAACGTCTAATAAATTGTGAATAATAATAAAATAATAATAATTAAAATAAACCATGGATTTCTTTAAGAACGAGTTTCCCATCATTATCAATATCAAGACATTTAGCGATTATTGCAAGACGTGATTCCTCCAATGGGATATTGCGAGCTTTGGCCGCGTTAATTAGTTCATCCAATGAAACAACGCCGTCTTTATCAGCGTCAATCGTCGCAACGGAAAGTGCGTCTCGCTATGAATGTATTATTAGTATTAAAACACTTTTATAAAGGATATGGTTGATTTATTATTACTGAATGAATTTCTTCTTCAAGTTTCTTAATGACTTTATCAAGTTTCTTTTCAAGTTGTCTTTTACTAAACGATTCTTCGACGCCGTTTTTGCTCTAAATAATAATAATAATAATAACATTAATAATAATGAATAAATAAACAATAACTGTAATAATATAACAACAACAATAATAATAAATATAACTTCTTTATATTCTTCTCTCTCTCCGCGCAGCTCATTCAATTCTTCGAGTTCATTTTGCAGTGAAGAGCACGAGGAAAGATTGGCGACAGCGTCAGCAATACTATGTAGCTCTTCTTGCGAAATTACGGGTTTTTCTTTTCCTTCTTCCTTCAAAATTTTTTTTTTGTCCTACAAAAAATTCAGAATAATTGAAATAATAATAATAATAAATATATTTACTGAATCGCTTGTAGGTGTGGAAGTTTTAGTTTCATTCTCTTTAATACTTTCATGTTCTTCTGGTTTCTTTTCTTCGGTACCACTTTCTTCGTTCTCTTCTTCTTCTTAAGTATTTAATATTATTTTAATATTAATATTATTTTTATAAAACCTCGTTCTTCAGCAATTCTTTTATCTTCCTCCCTAATAACTTCCAGTCGTTCTCGATTGGCTATATTTTCTCCTCTGCTTCTCTTTTTTTGTAAGTCAGTTTCGTGTACCTTTTGTTTTTTTATATACAAATAATAGTCAACAATAATAATAAATTTTAATAATAATATAATTAATTATATTTATCATCATAATAATTAATAATAATAACGATAATGAAAATACTAAGTTTTCCGAAAGGTTCGTTAGCAAAGAAGACTTAATAGTGTCAGGATCAATTGATGGATTAATCATTAAAGCTCGTGAAAGCAATAAAATAGTGGTCGGGACCTCGTCATTAGAAATAATGAAAATAATAATAACATTAAGTAGTAGTAAAAATAATTTCACAATAAAAGTAGCTTAAGATCATTAAAATTTGTTACAAAAAAAAGTTCTTGAAAATTATATAAATTGTAATATAAAAAGTATTTTTCAAAAAAGTTTATATATATAATATATAATTCACCAAAAAAAGTTCCTGATTACCAAAAAAATTGTTATACACAATTTCCCAAAGTATTTTAAAGAAACATTAAAGATTATTATATAATAATTATTTTTAAAAGTTTGTTATGTAAAAAATTATATATTTACCCAAAATAAGTTCTTTTAAATCATTAAAACTTGTAAAAATATATTGTACAATTTATAAGTATATTTATTATAGAAATTCTTCATAAGCATAAAAATTGTTATATATAAGTCTTTTCTTTAAAAATTATTAAGTAAAATATACAAATTCTCAAAAAAAGTCCTTTAAAATTATTAAAAAAAAATTTTAAAATTTATTTTTTAATGTTTATAAATAAATTATTTATTTTCACAGTAAAAAGTTCTTTAAAATCTTTAAAAAAATTGTTTAAAATATATTCTTTGATATTTATAAGTAAAATATATATTTTCACAAAAAGAAGTTCTTTAAAGTCATTAAAAAAACTCTTATATAAAAAGATTTTGTTCAAGTTTTATTAAGTAAAAAAAGTATTAATATTATTAACTTTTTTAAATTTAAATAATTTTTTGTATCTCTAAATTTTTTTCAAATAGGTAATTACTTATACAAAATTTATTCATATATTTTAATGAATCATTTTTTTTATTGAGTACTAAAAATATTTTACTCCGTTACGATTATAAACTTTATTTTCGAGGTATTATATTTATTTGCATTATTTTCGTTGGCAATAACGTAATAATAAAATGTAGTAAGAAATGTCAATAGAAGTATATAACTATATTAACACGCGCTAAAAATAACCTAACTTTTTCCAAAATTTTAAGGACCCCCCCCCCCAAAATATAATTAAGAATATTAAATATGAAATAATTAAAATTAAAAAGTTTAGTTATAAAATTATAGGAATTCACATAATTTAAAAAACTTCAGCCATTGGTGAATTGAAAATAACAAAAATAATGAAAAATATAATTACCTTTTCTTTTATATTTAAGTTCAACCACTGTCGCATTTGAGAACGAAGACGCTCAATAGTAATGCCGATGGCGCGCATGCCACGATCCTGACAGGCCGTCTGCAGCTCAGAAACGGTCATGCTATCGACTCCTTCTTTTAGTATCATCTGATTGGCGGCCCCAACATTTGGAGGGTTAAAAAAACTTGATTGGTAATTACCAATTTAGCCAAAATATTTAATGAAATGTAAAAAAAATTTAAAATATAAGAATACTTTCGCTGTAAAGTTTGTTAATTACTGCCACCAACAATTAAAGAGCTGGTCAAATTTATTAAATACAAAAAATTATGAGGTTAATTTCTTAATGAAAACAATGAAAACTAATTGGTTGTTCACCAATTAGCAAAAATAAATATCAAGCAATTGAAATACAATTTTTTTGAGAAACTCGTTTTTACTAACCCCAACAATAAAAGTTAAGTTGCAAAAATTAAATAATTTGATTGGTTGTCACCCATTGGTCAGATTTTTTGTTTACAAAAGAAATTATGAAGTTAATTTTCTTGAAGACACGTGGCTAAACTAAAGCTATAAAATAAGTAAAAGTTCAAAAAAATAGAATTATGATTGACTGGTGTTATTGAATATCAACCAATTAAAAAAAATTGTTAATTCTCCTTAGTTACTAAAGTGTAACATGATAAAAAGGCAATAGTGATTGGTTAGTGACAACTATGACATGTGTATATATAGTAGAAAGGGGTTATTTAATCGCCTTCCCACTCGGTAAAAATAGTTAAAAAATTAAAAGCTTATGATTGGCAGCCCCGAATGAGTCAAACACCAGAAAAGTTACGATAAAGTATTGGTACTATATTCTTTCCCTTTCCCGACAGCTGGGGACGGGATATGAAAAATAAAAAAATACAATTGGTCCTCACAACAACAAATTACCATTATTACATTGTTCAAACGAATGGCGTGAAATATTAAAATAACTTTTTAATGAAAACTTTTCATTATAATAATTGGCTTTTTGACTTTTCTCATTGGTAGAAACCGTGATAATTAAAAAAATGACTGGTCAGCACGTTTTTAATAAATCTTTTTTAGTGAATAATACTTTCAGATAATATTCTCAAATTCCCCAACAATAAAGGTAAACGTTATAAAAAATAATTAAATTGGTCAATGGCCAAAAAAAAATTATATTCACTATTTTTTCTCCTCAACGATAATTGTAAAAGTCAAGTAATAAAAATTATGGTTGGTCGATACCCAACATTAAAAAATCTAACTAATTGTTTCTCACCAACAAATGAGGCGTAAGCCATATTGGTTTCATTTCTTTTCCCCAAGATTTTAAGTTCAACAATTTATATGGAATAAAAAATTTTAAGATTATAAATAGTATATAATTTCAGCATTAAGAGCTACCATAATTTCTAGTTGGCGCTTTAATTCCAACAAAAATTATAGTGAAAACAAAAAAAAAGTACTTCTGATTACCCCAACAATTAAATATATTACATATAATTTTTTAGTAATTAAAAATAAGTAGTTAATATAATACTTTAAGTAAAAAAAAGCTTCAATAAATTTAGGCGCTAAAATTCGTACAAAACTCTTGATAAAAACAAAAGAAAAGATCTATTATTTTCTTAATCATAAAATAAAATTTTCCAGTACCAACAGTATAATAAAAATTTTAATATGAAAAGCTTTATTGGAGTTTAAATTCTAACAAAAATTATAATGAAAATAAAGAAAAAAATATACTGCTTACTCCAACAATTAAAAAAGAATATTAAAAAAATTCTAGTATCAAAAATTATATATATCAAATAAATTAACAACCAAAAAAAATTTAATATTTCATAATAATAATAATAATACAAATCCCAACCAAATGGGGTTACAAGAAATTAAATGTATATCAGAAATTATACAGAGGTCATACGAGATCGTCAGCGCGTAATTGGCGCATGCGAATCCGAAGTTGAAAGGCGAGAAAATTAGTGGTCCCAACAGTAGGGAGGCCAATCGTTCTGCAGAGGGCCACCACTTGTTTACGTGAGAGATTGTCGAGCGTTAATTCGTCTAAAAAAAGTATTGACTAAGTAAATAATTTACAAAATTTTGATATTAATAAAATTTATTATTAAAAAAATATTGTCAGTTTTTATAAATAAAAAATATTTAAAAGAATATTAATATATAAAAAATAAAAAGAATTTGTACGAAAAGTTTACATTTAAAATCAATTAATATAAGAAAATTATATAATAAAATAATAATATTAGCAATAAAATTTACTTTAAAAAAGTGTACATCAACAATATTTTATAATAAAAAATATTCTAAATAATGCAAGTGTATAAAACGTAAAGAAAGTATAATAAATAAAAGGGTTCATAAAAAAAAATATCATATATGAAACAAAAAAGTAATAATAATGAAGAGTATTATAATAATATATATACAAAAACCTTCAAACAATTTTAAAAATTTAATAACTTCCTCTTGCGAAATATAAAAAGTTCCGGTGCGTAACTTTTAAATAAAAACAATAAAAATAAATAAAACAAATAAATAATTGTAACATGTAAAAAAAGTTTTTTATTTATAACAAAAATTTAATATTAAAAAGTAATAAATATATAAAATTTGTATAAATAATCATAATTAAAAGTATAATTGTAAAAAAATATATTACAAATAAATATTAAAAATTTATAATAGAGCATAAATAAAAAACCAATAAATAATAAGTAAAATATATATATTAAAATTCATAATGGAGGTAAATTTAATATTAAAATATAAAAAATATATAAAACTGTATAAATAATTATAAATAAAAGTATTATTGTTATTAATAAAAATACAGTAAATATAATTAATTAATAGTTAGACCGATAAGTAAGCAATAAATAATTGCACAAATATAATGAAATGTTACACAAATATTTATTAATAGCTAATAACATTCATTAAAATTTATGATAATACTCACACGAAAAAAAAATATTCTTAATTTTTGAAAGACAAGAAGCATGAATTTTAATGAAATGTATCAAAATTGAATATAAAAGAGTTCGAGTCACTATTATTATGATTGAAAGTAAAATAGAAAATTATTTTGATATAAATTTAATATGAAAAAATTGAAACAAATAACTTATAAATAACGCAAAACAAAAAAGGATAACAGACAAAAAAGTTCGAGTAATTTTTATATTATAAATAAAATAATAATTTATAGCATATTAAGATTTTACAATAAAAAATAAAATAAAAAAATTAAGTATTATTATTGTTATAAGTAAAATAAAATTCTATAAGTGATTAAGATTTAATAAAAAAAATTATATAAAAGTATATTTATAAAATAATAATATTTCCAGTAATATTATTATTGTTTAAGTAAAATAAAAATTTATAATAGATTAAGAATTAAAAAAAAATAATTTATAAATAAATTTATATAAATAATTATAAGTAAAAGTATAATCGTTAAAAAAAAAAGTCGAAGTAATCACTATATAATAATTATTATTTATCTTTTTATTTATTATTATTGAAATTATTTAATTACAATTTATTATTATTACTATTATTAATTATTACTACTATACCGTCATTATTATTATTAGTGTAAATATTATTTTATTATTCAGTATTATTTTTTATTATAATATTATTACTTGTTATTATTAACTTTTATTATTATTAGCATTACTATTAGTATTATTATAATTTATTATTTTTATTATTACTATCACTATTATTATAAAGGTTATTTACTTTTTCCCACATCTCTTTAACTTTCAAGTCAGACTCCACAATTTTGTTGGGATTCACCGAAGCAATTTCTTCAACGGAATCTTGCAAAACTTTCGCCATCTCTAATTTTACCTTTAACCGTTTTTTCCTTCTTTCTTCCTTTTTTATTTTTATTTTTATAAAACTTTAGAAGAAATTTTAAAAAACGCATAAAAAACATATAATGATAATAATTTTTAAATAAAATAATTTCAACGCGTAAAAGAGTCGTAAATTTCATTATAACGTTTAAAAATATTTAAGCATAAAAGTAATTACTATTAATAATAACCATCAAAAATAATTATAATTATAATCGGAAAAAAGTTATAAATTTTTTTTTCAAATAAATATATTAATAACTAGCAAAAAAGTTATAATTAAATCTTTACTGCACGGCATGAATTTCATTATAAGTTAAAAAAATTCCGCATAAAAAAATAAGATTAATAAAAAACCATCAAAAGTAAATAAAGTAGTAAAAATTATCATTAAAAATGAATTAATGAATTCACTTGTGTAAATGGTAATAATAATATTATTAACAATTCATGAAAAAAAAATTAAAATTAAAACGTAAAAAAAGTTTATTTCAAAATAATAAGTAAAAAAAATTAAAAAATTTCATAAAAATGGTATAAAAAAATATTACAATACAATTTAATAATGATAAAACAAAGAAAAAAACAGTAATAATAATGTGAACAAAAAAATTAATAATTTTATACAAAATTAAGTGACATTAACGTATAGTACGTAGTAATAATAGTTATAACAATCCCATCAAAAAGTAATTAAAATAATAACTTAAAAAAAAATTATATTAATAATAAATGATTTAAAAAATATAACGCTTTAAAAATGTAATAGTAATAATAATAGTTCATCAAAAAATAAGGATGACAAAAACTTAAAAAAAAAGAATTAAATATTCATAAAAAAGGATTTTAATTATTAACTTTATCTTTTTCGCTATCAAAAGTACTTGGAAGCATATTCGGGAACAATTTAAGTGCGACTGGAAGAAGAAATTCCATAAACGGGACTATAATAAAAATGGAAAAGGGAACGAGACGGAGAAGATCTCCAGTTGTGCGTACGAGCTGTTACGAAATATAATTATAATAAACTTATTAAAATAAATAAAAAATTATTATAGGTAAATTTTACTTGACGTCGTTCCCTTCTCGTAAGCGCACATCCTTTTAAAAGTTTCCATGTTAACGCAGATGAGATTTTGATATCGTAAAATAATAACTGAAAACCTATTTTTTATATTTTCACAATAACAAAAATATGAAACAAGAAAAACTTCCATAAAAAAAAGTATTTAACTTGCTAACTTTAATCACCAAAGAACACAATAAAAAAATTTTATATGGATTGTTATTTTCTAAAATTTTACTTTTCTATAAATTAACTTAAATAAAATGAAAATTTAATTTTCGTAAATAATAACTGCAATAATACCTAAAAAAACCTAAAAGTTATAATAATTAAAAATTTCTCTAGTTCATTTTTTTAAATAAATAATATAAGGCTCCCATACAAAAGTAGAACAGAATTTTTAATAAAAACCAGATCTGTGGAGAAAAAAAAGTTTTTACAAAATTAAAAAACTTGCAATTTTTCAAAGTACCAAAAATGTTATACTTACAAATTTACTTTCTTATAAGAAAAAATATAACGCTCTGTATATAAATTTATCTAGTAGAATTAGATTTTATTTTACTTTATACCAGCTTTGTAATGATCCAAAGTTTCTTTTGCGGTGTCCATAAATTTACGTACTTGAGGCTTCGGGTCGATAAATTTAATCATTTTATTATAAAAAGGTTCCTTTTTATTATTAACTGTTTCAGGAGAATGATGATAGTTATGACTAGTTCCTATACTTTCATTTTCAGCAGTATGACCACTTTTTTCATTAAAAGATGTATTTTTGCAAAATTTTAAAACACTTTTTTGAGCAGGTATAACTCTTGAAGTATAATATATATTTCTACAAAAAAAATGTTTTTTTCTTTTAGTTCCATTAATAATATATTTAAAAAAAGGTTTTTCGATTTGTTTTTTACAACGCCCTAATTAGTAAACAAATTAATTTAACAAGTAACCAACTTGTAGCAATACAGAAGAACAAAAAAAAATAGAAATAAATGTTTTTTTTAAGTGTTATATTAGAGTATATAACGATTTCTTTAAAAACTTACAAAAGCAAAAGGAATAACTGTACATTATAAAGAATAAAAAAAACTCCTATCCATTTGCTAATCTAACAATTGGCAAGAAACTAATTAAATTCTTCAAGGCCATGTGCTAATAAAAAATTAGTTTTACTTCAACTGAAGTAGTGTTGTTCAAAATAAAAAAGTTTAGAAATTAGGTAATTATAGAATTTTTTATTTATAGTAGAGTATATATAGTACTTTTTCACTTACACTAATAAACAATGTTAGATAAAATATATATAAGTATTCTCATTATCTAAATGATTAAACATATAAATCAGTTTTCCTTCCCTGAAGTGGATGTTCAAAAATTGAAAATATAATTTATATAATTTAGTATTTATTATTAATAATTGGAATATAGAAAAACACTGTTTCTCTTACACTACTAAACTAAAGTATTTAATAAATATTGTAATAAATTTTTTTTGAAGTTACTATAATGGTTGAATAAATAAATAAATTTCCAAGTTTACTTCCACTATAAAGGTGTTTGTTCTAAAATATAACGTTTAAGCTAAAAAAAATTTAAAAAGTTTTAGATTTTTTTATTTATAACATAAGGTGCTTTGTTTCACTTACCCTAATTTATAAAAGTGCAAAAAAAAAAAAAATAAAAATACGACAGTTGGAAATTATATTTCTAATTTTGAGATATTTTAAATAATTGAGTTAATTAATTGATAATTTTTTTGTTTCACTGCTACTAAAGAGTAGATATATTATAGAAGATAACGTGGTTTTTAAAAAAAATTTAAATAAATTGTAATTAATAACAGAACCCTTCGTAAATGGTAAATATACTATTTAGTTGTACACTAAACTATCGATGTGCAAAAAAATAAAACTTATTAGAATATATTTGCCATACATTGGGGACCGTTATTTTCTATATTAAATAGTTTGGGCTAATTAAAATTATAATTACTGAGCCTTTGCAATTCCATCCTGTGAGTTTATAAAAGACTACATATATTATTATAAAATTATAACTATTTTTATAAGCTATATCCTTGTTTAATATTATTAAACTTGTATTAAATACCAAATTGGTTTAAAGTTATTGTCTAAGTAAATGCGGATTTAAGGCAGTGCCTCTTAAATTTATTACTAATTTTTTAATTAAAATTACTTAAGCTCTGTATGCAAATAAAAATTACACAGATTGATCGGTTGACTAGCAAATTAGAAGAACTTTTATCGGAATGATAACAAAATTTTTTTAGCTTAAATTAATTCTTTATACTTTCATTTATATTTCTGCAACATTATCTATCTCGTTGTAGCTTTACCGTTTATTGCTCATATCAAATTTATAATAAAGAACGTATTAAAATTTTTTTTATCTAATTTAAGCTATAAAGTAAACCTATTATGATTATGCAATAAAGTTACACAGAAAAATTAGTTAAACCATTCAAAAGAACTTATTCGGGATATTCTGTAAAATTTTATAGTTTAAGTTATATTTTTATACTTCACTTTACGTAATCTTTGCAACAATTTTTGTTTCGTTGCCGCTCTTACACCTAGTTATAACAAATTTAGTATATAAAATTTTATTCATACTATTTTAAATTTTATTGAGTAAACTACTTTAAATGTCCAATTAAAATTTACAACAATCCGTTTTTTAGCATTTTAGAGGAACTTTTACCGAAATTATTAGTTAATGATTCAAATTTGATTTTATTATGGTTTGTACAACAATTTTTATCTCGCTGTAGCTCTACTTTTAAATATTTACACCAAAACCATAACAATAAAATATATCAATGAAACTATAACTATTTTGATGGTAAACTATTACAATATAGTAAAATAAATTACACAGATTAACCATTTGTTTAGTAATCTAGCAGAACTTTTATTGATAATAATTAGTTTATTTTCTCTTTAAATTTAACTTATGAATTTATTGATTTTTTGCCACAATTTCATAGTTGCCTTTGTCTAAAGCTTATTATTTACATAAGACTTATATGAATCTATTATAAAATTAGTCGATAATAATAAATAGCTAAATTGAACTCACTAATATGTTATATTATTCTATCAAAAATTACTTAGGGTGGGCGGTTGTTTAGCAGGCTAACCAAACTTTTACCGGAATTACTCAATCATTTACCCAAATATAATTAATTTTCTATAGTTAAATTTATTATCGCTTCTTTAATAATATCACTCTCGCTGTAGCTCTACCGCTAACTATTTACGATAAACTAAATAAAATTTCTATATTAAATTTACTTGTTTTAAATTATACTTCGATAAGTAATCTTACAGAACTTTTATCAAGATAATTAGATGATCCTCAAATATAATAGAAGAATTACATTCTAATTATAATGTAACAGTTTTAATCTTGCTCTCTATAAGTTATACCAAGTCATGATCCAAAGTTTGCCGAGATTGAGCCTTTTTTTTAATTCCAACTTTAATTTAAAAAACTCGCTATTTTTGTACTGTGAAAAGTTATATATAAAAACTGGATGACTTTGATTTTACTTTTTTTAAGGTCATTATCTTTTTAAATATTAGCCTTTTTATAAAATTATAATTTCTTAAAGCTTTTCATATTTAAATTATAAGTTTTATATTGCAATCTATTGTAAGAGTTCTTCAGAAAAAGATTAGCACGTGACAGTAGTTTTGAAGAATAAAGCTTTTTATTAAAAAATTTCTATTAGATTATTGTAAGAGTTCTTTAGAAAACCAAGATTTATATAAAAATATAAAGATAAACTTTTCTATTTTAAATTTATTTCAAATTTTTTTTTATTTTTTTTACTTCAGATTATTTCAAGAGCTCTTTAGAATCTACCAATTTTACTTTTTTTAATTTTAATTCTTTAAGAGCATCGATTCCGCCTTGAACAGTCACGGCGCGGCACAAATCCGTTATAAGATTCGTGTCATAACTAAAAAAAATTATTCATTAAAAAATAAATAAAAAATAAAGCAAATGAAATTAAATTTCAAAACGATCAAGTCTATAAATTTCATTTTAAAAAATAATAAATTAAATTATTTCCTAAATGAGGTTTATTGAAGATAAATTGCTTTAAAATATTTTTAAGTTAAATAGTAAATCTATAAACCTCATTGCTTCCATAAAAATTAATTTAATTTTTTTATAAAAAGTTTTACTATACTTTTGAAGATAATTTGCTATAAGGTACTTTTTAAGTTATTTAGTAAAAAAAAAATTAAATAAAATAACTGAAGCGCCACAGCGTCCAAGCAAGTAAACTTTACGCAGTAATCAAGCGCAAGTCCGCACACATAAACTTTTTTCTATTTTAATTATTATTTATTTTTAATTAATATTTATTATTACAATTATAATAAATATTCATAAACAAAAGTTATTTAAAAGTTTATTAAAAACAATAATATAGTTATTAATAAAAATATAATATCTTTTATACTTTTCTTGTATATGATATATATAAATACTGTTAGTTTTATTATTATTATAACGTAAATATGATCATAAAAATAAAAAAGATAGCAAATAGAAATAATAATGTAAAATAATTATAAGAAAGAAAAAATAAATCATAGAGATGTAATAAAAAGTTTAATAATTTAACAATAAATAAAAAAATATATAAATAGAAAATAATAAAGAAATGTTTTAAAAATAAGTATAAATAAAAAAATAAAAAAAGAATAATAATAAAAAATAATAAACTAATACTTCTCTATAATTATTATTATTATTATTATTATTATTATTATTATTATTATTATTATTATTATTATTATTATTATTATTATTATTATTATTATTATTATTATTATTATTTGATAAAACCTTACAATATTATTAGCTTGCAGATAATCGTTTAAGCCGGTATCGCCATTTTTATTATTATCAAAAAAACCGCTATAACTATCCACAGCGGGATTGGTCCCTTTTTGAATAACTTTTTCAAGGTGCCTGAAAGTATGAAAAAGTTAATAATAATAATGATTATAAGTTATAACAAGAATAAATAAAGTAAAAGTACTTACAATAATAATAATAATAAAATTAATAATTATAATAATTACAAATAAAGTAAAAGTGAAGTTTTATATATTAATAAATACGCATAAGAAAAGTTAGTAATATAAAGTAAATTTGTTATTAACAATTTATAATTATGATAATATTTTAGGGAAAAGTAAAATTTTTTTATTTTTACATATTTATTATATTTATATAATTAATAAACTATTGCTTATTTTAATTTATTGTTATATAAATAATATTATTACATTCATAAAGGTTATATAAAAAATATAATAATTATTAATAATCCATAATATATTTTAAGTATCAATAAATAAAAGCAAAAGATTATATTTTTCTTGTGGATATTATATATAATAATAATTATAAATTTCTTATAAATAATACTAATAATTATTATAGTAAAGTTACTAATATTAATATTCCTAATAATTATAAAGCAAGAAGTAAAGAATGAAAAAAAAGTTAAAATAATAAAATAATAAAACTAAAAGTATTTTTTATATATATAAGATTTATTATATTAATATTGATATTATTTATATTTATAAAGTTAATAAGTATAATATTCTAAAATAATAATAATATAATAGTATTTATTATTTATAATAAATTATTGTTTTAAATATTTTTATATCTAAAAAAAATAAATAAATTTATTATAATAAAAACTTTTAACTTTTTTTTATTAAAATAATATTTACTAAATGGTTAAAACATTAATTATTAATATAAACTTTTGAACTTATAAAAATTATATTAAAAAAAAATTAATTCATGATTCATAATAAAAACACAACTTTATATAAATATAATAAAAATATTATATTGAAAAAATTATAATAATTGAAACTTTTAACTTTTTTTTATAAAAATATTATAAGAAAAAGGAAAAACATTTTTTCATATAAAAAATTTTATCAACTTTTTGTGTATTTATAAATATCAAACAAAAAAAATATATAATAAACACTTTTTAACTTTTTGAGAATAATAAAATGTATTTAAGTAATACATTTTGAATTTGTGTATTTATTAATATTAAATAAAATTTATAAATAGTAAATTTTTTTTAAATTTTTACATATAAAAAAATAAATAATAATAAAAACTTTTTAACTTTTTTTCGTAGATTACAAAATAAATAAAAGAATAAATTATTTATTAATAACAAATACTTTTTACTTTTATGTATATAACAAAGTAATAAATATAAATATAAATTTATCGTTTTCTTTTTGGAATATAAAATAATACTTAATTAAAAAAAATCATTATTAATAATAAAAAAAACTTTTACCTTTTCTTGTATATAAAAAAAATATTAAATATAAGAAAATATAAACTATTAATATATATAAAAAATTATATATATCAATAATATACGTAAAAGTATTATATAAAAGTAATAAAAAAAAAGGAAAATATAATTTCACTAGAAAGTTGGAGTTCAATATTTTATAGAAAAAAAATTCATTAAAAAAATAAAGAAATACACGTGTTTACGAGAGAGTCAAACTTAAATATTATGTAAAAAATACTCATTTAAAATAATGAATGTACGACTTCACGAAAGAATGGAGCTCAGAAATTTTATAAAAAATAATCATTAAAAATAATGAACAGGAGTTTTCAGTAAAAATAATGAATACACGATTTCGCAAGAAAATTGAGCTCAATAATAATATATGAAGAGCTTTCATTAAACATAAGAAATCTACTATTAAAAAGATATCCACTAAAAATAATGAAGAAAGAAATATTAAACTCTCAACGATAAATAATATCCGATTTCACAAGAGAATTGAGTTTCACAAATATTATATAAAAAGCTTTTATTAAAAATAAAAAATATATCATAAAAAGATAATCATTACAAATATTGAAGGCAGAAATTAAATATAAAGATATGTTCCATTAATAATGATGGGTATACCCTTTCACGAGCGAATCAAGCTCGGCGCCTTTACTTTCCTGCACGCAATGGTCAGGCCATAGCATTTGCGGCGCTCCCGATAATTCCTCGGGGAAGTGCCCCAAAAAAAATTTTAAATAGTGAAAAATAGGATAGAAAATTTTTTTATGGAACATTAAATTTTTACTTTATTACTTATTTTTTTATATGAAAAGTTTTATTTATATTAAGAAAAGTTTAATTCTATATTAATACTATTTATTATGGTAAAGTCTTATATTTCTATTAATATTTTTTTACTTTTTTATTTATTTTTTTAAAGTTTTTTGGTATATATTCTGGTATTTACCTTTAATAAGAAAAAAAAAAAATAAGTTTTGTATACAAATATTATTAAGAAAATCAAGGAAAAGAAAAAAAATACTAATTTTTAAATATAGAATTTGTAGAATAATATAATAAAAAGTATGTAATTAAAAAAATTAATGTTTTAATAAACAGAAATAATAAAGAAAATAAATAAATAAAAAAATTACTATTAATAAATTTTATAGTTTATATAATTTCTTATAATATAATAAAAAGTATAAATAAATTAATGTAATCTGGTATTAAAATTTAATAATAATAATAAAAGAAAAAAAATTATTATATTTTTTAGTAGCATATTTATATAATAACATAAATAAAGAAAATAAAAAAAAATTGATAATTGTTTAAATAAAATATGTTTAAATAAATAATTAAATTTATATTTTTTACTATGAAATATTGATAAAAAAAATAAACTAAATGATTCAAATTTTTAAATTTTAATAGTAAATTTGAATAATATAATAAAAAGTATAAATAAATAAATAATATTCAGTATTTAAAATTTATATTTTTTAGTATTAAAAAATATTAATGTATAAATAAAATTTATTTTTTTTATAGAAAAAAAAGAAACTAAATAAATTTAAATTTTATATTATAATAATAAATTTTTATAATATAATAAAAAGTAGAAACAAACAATATTTATATTATTTTTTCTATCAAAATTCATTTATAATAATAAAAAGAATAATAAAAGTATAAATAAATATAATATATATATTACAATATAAAGGAAAAATAAAAAATAATATAAAAATATAAAATTTCTCTCCTTTTTCTGATAAATTTTAGAGTTAATAAAAGGAAGCAAATATTAACAAGATTTGTTTATTAAGAACTAAATGGCTTATTTTTTATATATAAATGGAAGCATTCGGGACTCTTCTGTAAACGTACAAGTATAATGAAATAATTTTTTTAGTATATAAAAAATTTATATTTATATAATAAAAATTAGCCAAAATATAGTTTTTTATGAGTTTTATTAAAAGTGGAACTCATTCTTATATAAAGTTTTGTAAATTTCAAGATATTTGTAACACTTTCTTTATAGAGTATAACCAAGAGGGACTTTAATAAAAAAAAAATTGCGAAGGCTTTTAAACTTGCTTTCACATAGTTACTTTTTTTTAGCTTTTTTTATATAAAATTTGAATAATTCAAGAATAAAAAAAAATAACAATAATAGAAATAATAACAATAATTTATACACTAAATTAATTATAATTTAATAGAATTTTAGAGAAAATATATATAAAGTATTTTTAGATTTTTTTTATAAAAATTACAGTAAAACTATAAAACTATATAAAAGCGGATTATAGTTCTTAAGTGTTCTACAAAATCCCCAAAAAATAAAGTTTTAAATGTTAAATTAAATTAAATTAAATTATAAAAAAAATATAAATTTTATTTTTTAAAAATATTATTAACTTGTAAAAAATAATTTCTTAATTAAAAAAATATAAAAGAAATGAAAAGTATAATTTAAAAAATTACAATTCGAAATTTTTATAATAAAAAATTGTCATTCTTGAAATCACTGTTTTCATAGTTTTTTAAATTTTAGTGATTATTGCTAATAAAAATTAATAAATTTATTTGAATTAATATTATATATATATTTATTACTCCCATAGTAAATGGCGGTTTCGAATGAGTGGATGCAAAACTTCCTATTGAAAATTATAAGACTTAGTATAATAATTAAAAAATTTAAATTTAAAATTGCCTAAAGAATCCTTCTAAATACGCAATGTTATGAAAATAATAAAACTTAATTAAAAGTAGCTTAACAAAAGCAAAATTTCTACAATGTTTAAAACTTACAATGCCATTCAGATAATAAGTTTATTTAAGTAATTTATTATTTCAATAATTGAAATATAAGAAATATTATTTCGTTAAAACTTTTAATAGGAGAAATGTTATAAATTATAAAACTAAATTTATTAAAAAAAAGTTTAAATTAGGTATGAGAAGGCCATCTTATTAAACAAAATTAGTTAGTATATAAAATAATAATTAGAATAATTTTGGAATTTGTACTATTTAAAGGTTGAACAATTTTATTGATGCGGCAGTCAGAATGCGTAATGCAAAAAGTAAAAAGTTTTTTTTTTAAAAAAAAATTATTAGAATAATAGTAGTAATAATAAATTTCAAGCAACCATGGTTACGAGGATGCCAGTCTTGAGTACCGACTATAAGAAACCCCTTTTTTTTCAAAGCTTCGCACAAATTAGAAATTTTCTGTTTTAAGTAAATTATCAAAGCGAGAAAATAAGTTTATGACTTTAAATAAAATTTTCTTCTTTATGGTGTAATATTTATTTTAAGAATACATATTTTTCTTTAAATAGTGCTTTAATATCTAGTATTTACTGCTGAGCAGCTAAAAAAATATATATTAAATATCTTACTTTATTAATTATTTAAAGTTATTATTATGCTACTGTTACGTTTTTTTTTCAGAATTAATTCTACCTCAGGGAGTTCGGCTCCTCCAGGTACGGCCAACTTACCATCCGGAGGAACAAAATCATATTGGAGATCAACTACTATTAAAGCCTTCATGTCACGATAGAGAAGTAAACTTTAAAAAAAGGTTGAGCGAGTCACACTTGTAGAATATTTATAATGATAACAATCAATCATACAATCTAAAAACTTATTTTCAAAGTTATATTGGACTATAGTAGACCAGTAAAATGCTTGAATAGGGCCAAAAGATTTCACAGTAGATGACTTTTACTCTTAGTTTTACATTAAAAACTAACAGAATAATTATCCTTTGTAGTGGTTTTATGAATAACAATAATACTGGGATTAAATGAGCTTGAGATGATTTGCGGTATACTAGTTTATTACAGTTGAAAGCTTTTACTTGCTTTATAATTTTACGGGCTAACAAGATAAGTATCTTCTATATTAGTTTTATCATTAACACAATACTTGGATTGAGTTTAATTAAGAAATGATTTTCGTTATGTCTCCTTTTTTTTGCTATGTAAGTCTCATCAATTCCCCTCTTTTTACTATTCATTTCTTGTAAATATGTATAATCGGTGCTCTTCTTAGAAGTTCTATAAGGTTCATACTGCCTATACTGTGCTCTTTTCTTTATAAAAGAGTTGATTTTAAAAGTGGAAAAAAATCGGGGACCAACAATTCACTACACTAACCAAAAGAAATTTAAAATTTACTGCTGCAAAATTCTTTGTGGCTTTCGGTGATTACTACATCAACATTAAATTTAAAAATAATAATAATAAAATGAATTCATATCTAACAATTGTTTTTACAACACTAATGAAAGATACCGTTATACAAAACATGATTTTTTTAACCACTCTTTTATTTACGATCTTATAATACGCTGCTGTCACCTAGTAAGCTACTACTTAGTGAACTAAACCCTAAGTAAAAGCTTCTCCAATACTATTAAAGCGCTAAAATTAGTCAAGAACTTCAGTAACTCCTTGTATGAGCTTATTTGGTGTAGGATTGCAAAGAGACGCATCTAATTTGAAAGAGGAATTGAAAAACGATCGGCTAAATATCCGGCTTAGCTTTTGCGTGTTAGATTAACGGTAGTAATGAATAAAGCGAAGAAACAGCAAAATAGATATGGTTGAATTAATTTTGGAGCTAAAGATGAGTAGTTGACTCGGAGAGAACCAGATAAAAAACTTTTATAAACTCGTTCAAATCTGTCGAGTCCAGTCAGAATTCTTAAGACATCTTAACGCAGGTTAACCAGATTTCATGCTCAAAAAGTGTTGAAACTTTCCATTGTTGAATTGTAACTCGTAACTCTAAAATATATCAAAAATATAAGATATTATTTTTAATCATATATATAATGTATTAATGTAATAAAGAAAAAATAACATTTATGTATTAAGTCAAAAAATAAAATATGGTAATTTTTTTACTTTTTACAAAAGCTTTTAAGAAAGGCTAAAAAATATAACTTGTGCCCACAAATTACAAAATAATTAATTTTTAATTTAAAAAAATGTACCCATTATGTAAAATTAATTCCTTGTTTGGGTATTGTGGAATTTTTCATATTATTTTAATAAATATTAATCATTGGTTGAGATTATTATTAGTTATGATTGGTTAACTTTCGGATCATTTTAATTGAGGATGTTGTATGTGTTTCGGTCTTCTGCACTGGTAGTGTTATAGTACACTAACCAATTAGCAAAAGAAATTTAAAGTAACCTGTAAATTTTAAAAATGATATATATAAAAACTTTATTAAGCCTTGTTTATAAAAAAATAACATTGTAGAGGAGTTATTTAAAATTAAAAAAAAATTTATATCGTTAAAAAGTATAATAACTATCTATATAAGTTAATTTTTAATATAACTTTAGTAAAACATTATTATAATAACTTTGAAATGAAAGTACTGCCTATAAAGGATTTTATTTATTTTAAGTGTAACTTTCTCGTAAAATTTTGTTAGACGGGTGTTTGCTTTAATTAGGAGTAACGTTTTACTCCGTCCGAAGTGCTATTAACCGTGCATGAATAAATTTTTAACTTTACATATTTTATAATTAATAAACAAATGCACTAAATAGAAGCTTTTTGGGTACTAAAAACACAAACAATTAAATAATATAGAACCAAGTATACTAACGAACCAACCAGAGACAAAAATAAGATTTACTAATAAATCTAACCTCGAAGTTTACCAGTAAAATAGCAAGCAAGCGTGATGGAAGTTGTAGAGGAGAGTACGGCCTTTGCTAAAGTAAAAACTTATTCTTGAAAAGGGTTTTTTTGTGTAATTAATTTGAAAGAGCAAACTTAATATACCACTTTGCTTTTTAATAAAGGAAGTGTATGTAAAAGGACACTAAATGTAAATTAAAAAGTTACTTTACACCAAGATCTCTCATAAAAACAATATTAGAGAAAGAAGCAACCAAAGAAAGCATACAGTAATATGTATAACTCTTTTCATTACTTAAATTTATATAATCTGTGGGAATTGTCAAAAAAAAAAATTCTTTTAAGAATAATCTACTCGTTCTTTATACTGTTTAAATTTTAGAATTATAAGGAAATGAGATCAAAAATATCAGTTAACTTTAAAATAAGTTTTTATGCCTTAAAGAAAGCAATTTCTACGAATACTTTTTTTATAAATAAAAAAATAATGGTGGCTTCATAAATGACCACGGTAGCACACAAAGAATTCTAAAATTGTTAATAAAAAGTCATAAAAACGAAACTCCTGGCTTAACAATGGATTTCTGAAGGTATTGTGCCTGTATAAACTGAAGGTAATAATACGGCTCGTATTTAGAAAAACAGTTGGGAAGGAATAAGTTTGACTCTAATAAAAATTCCACTTACTCTTTAAGAAGAGAAAAAATAAATATAAAAGGTCAGAGGGCAAAAAATTTCTTAAGAAACCTTGAATTATATTGTAATATTTTAATGTTTCGCGTTTTCGCGTTGTATTATCGATTTACTGCTTCATTTAATAATAATCCCTATTCTCATTTTATTTTATGTCCAATGTATAGAGTACCTCTTTGTTAATATCAAAGAGATTTGTTTATATAAGTTATTGTTTTTTTGTAAAATTTATACTTTCTATAGGTAAACATAGTAAACGCGCTTCTAAGTTTTCTAACTGAGGCGTCGTTCATCAAAATATTTTTTTAATTCATTTTTACTAAATTAAATATTTGTATATAAGTCTAAAGGAAGGAGCTGTTCCACTGCGGCCGAAGAACAGCTCGAGCTAATCATCATTGTCCATGGAGTTTATTAAACCTTTATCGAACGAAAGGCGCCTGATCTCGACGGTATCACCAACGTGATCTTGAAGCAATTACCAGTGGTGGCGATAGAACGTTTATGGGACCTCATCAATTCTACTGTGGCCCTCAGACCTTCTTATTGCGCTGGAAGACGGCAACTATCGTGAGGATCCCAAACTTCAAGACGCCACAGCTTCTTCGCTCGGCAGGGTGGACTACCTGTGCTTTTAATTTAAAAGGGCTACAGGCGCTTCCTTAAAAAAAGTTGTATACGTAATATATCGATCGAAATGTGAGTTGTCAACGTAGCTCGGTAGTTAGAGCTTTTATCGCGCAGTCTCAAGGACGCGGATTTGATCCCTGGCGGTGCCAACCGCATTTTTTTGGTTTGCTGGTTACGTATACGATTTCTTTACAAACAAGATCTTGATATTCTTAATGGCGTAAAGGCATTTAACTGAGTTTGGCACAAGGCCTTGTTTTACAAATCGCGCGCCGTAGTTCCCCCCCCCCCCCCCTGCTGTTCTTTTAAACGTAAGCAAATCTTACCTAAAGGCCGCGTCTTCATAAACATTTGAGTGCTCTCTTCTATCACACCTACTCTTCGCACTTTATGAGCGCGATACGCCACAGCCTGCGATCCTCACACGCGGATGACCTTATATGGGAATGAATGGCGATATCCTCCTCGTCAAATATGGCTGCTTTATTGCACCATTCATTTGCAGTACTACCTAGTGACGCTTACGAACTGGTGTTGTCTTTAAGTAACTACTATAAATGCGGTGCAAATTTCTTTTATTACGAAGAAATTCATTACGCCATTACCACCGCTGACTTCCGAAAACGAGGTAACCTCTCCGAGTTCCCAGGCGAAATTCTGGGGGACGCAATGCACTATAATTTCTCGTGGCGACAGCAAGTAAACCAACCGTGGTGAAGGTCAAGGCGGCGGTTTAAATTTTAACTTTGTGCCCAAAGCAAACTTTCGTTGCACAAAGAAAGATTCTTTCTTGTGTAGTGTATCAGTCGATCTAACATACCCGTCTACTGTTTGGGCCTACGGCTCTCTTCGGCAATAACCTCTTTGCTTCAAGTGAAACCAAAACAAGCTGCTACGCCTTATGATTGGCGTGCTACACAAGCCTATTGACTCTATTATTTGATGTCTGTCCCAGTTATTCCTTAATTACTCAGTAAGCCAAAATTTTAACTGTCGTTTCATAAGACCAATTTTTTTCTCTTTCTGCATAAATTATGGAGACGTATTTAGTTTCACTGGCGTCAGTATCCCTATTAAATACGTCTTCTGTTTTCTTCCAAAACGCTTTTTGTTTTTTTTAATGGAGACTTTAAAAGTTTAAAAGAAAAGCCTGTTGATACCATAGAAAAAAAAATTTGATGCATAAGATAAAAGGCAAGTTAGATTTTTAGTAGAGATGGTCTACTTGCCAAAGGTAACAAAAAGAAGGTAGTAAACTTGCCACTCAAAAGAACAATCCGACTTAATTTACTTAAGGTAACCAAGATAATGTACAATACGAGTTAATATTTACTATTTAGTAATCAATATAGTAACATCTTATAAGCTATATTTAATCGTTCTTAAGTTTCCATTTAATTCATGTTAGTGCATTTATATCCCTATTTTTCTCCTAACAAAAATGTTTATTTAACACATACTACGTTTAAACATTTTTTAAGCTGATAGTTTAGAACTTCTCCATTTAAGATTTTATGATAATAGTACTTTTAACTTCTAAGTATTTTGTCTTTTAGTTAGTAAATTTGGT